CACAAATCTCTGGAAAGATATATTTTATTTATAATAAATATATTTAATATATAATAGTTTGCCACACGTGGAAGGGCAAGGGGGAGGACAGTTAGAATAGAGGAAGGATGATTTGGGGGGGGTAAACTCTAAATAATAGTGGTGAATCTTTTATTGAAACAATGAATCTAATCAAAGCACATAGAGTGTTAACTAGAATTCATCTGCCTCACAGGGATGGGGAGGGGTGGGAGGTGGGGTTTTATTGGGGTTCTTCATGGTAAAAAATAAGTATTGGTAAAGGGAAATGTGTTTGATATTTGCATGACTGAGACCTAAACCTGAAAGCTTTGTAACCTTTCCCACAGTGATTCAATAAAAAAAAAAAAAAAAGAATAGAGGAAGGACAAGAAGATAAGGCTAGTTGGAAATGATCACTCTGGACAAGGACAGCATGCTTAAAGGAGGTAAAGGTAACCAGAGAAGATCTTAGAGGGGAAGGGTAACTTCCTCCAGCATTCTTACACTATCTGTATTCTGGTGATGGTCAAATTTATATCACTAACCTGGATTTCTCCTCCTATCTCTAGACTTACATCGAATAATAGTGCCTCAAATGATGATTTCCCTCAGAATTAAAAACAGAATGATTACATACTTTGATAATACCTCTTAGAGGCATTTATTTGAAAGAATGGGATCAAGCTCTCAATATTTGTATACTCATTTCATAGCAACATTATTCACACTAGCCAAAAGTCAGAAGCACCCCAAATGCCCATCAATGGGTGAGTAGAGAAAAAAAATGTGTTAATACATATATTAACCTTTAAAAAAGGCAGAAGATCCTATCTCATGCTGCAACCTGGGTGAACATGAAATATTAGCTCTAGGAGCTTAAAGGCTGATGAGGGGTTTTGTTTAATTGGATGTAGAATTTTCCTTTATAAGATGAAAATATCTACCAATTGGTCACATAGAAATGTGAATGTCAATGTATTTAATACTCACTTGTAAATTATGAAATGGTTAAGGTGGCAAATTTTGTGATCGTTTTGTCACAGCTAATTTTTTTCTTTTTTCTTTTTTTTTTAAAGAGCTGTAGTGATAGCGCAGCGGGCAGGGTGTTTGCCTTGCATGTGGCCAACCCGGGTTGAATTCCTCTGTCCCTCTCAGAGAGCCTAGCAAGCTACCAAGAGTATCCTGCCTGCAGAGCACAGCCTGGCAAGTTCCCCGTGGCATACTCAATATGCCAAAAACAGTAACAAGTCTCACAGTGGAGAGGTTACTGGTGCCCACTCGAGCAAATTGATGAACAATGGGAGGTCAGTGCTACAGTGCTAATTGCTTTTTGCATATGGGCATTTTATATTTTTTTTACCTTTTCCCCTCTTCCTCCTTCTTTTCTTTTACTTTGTCCTCTCCTTCTTTCTTTCTTTCTTTTTTTTTTTTTAGTGTGGAGTTGGGCTTAACCCAGGGCCTCACACATACCAGGCAAGTTCTTTGCTGCTATGCCACATTCCCAGTGCCTTAATTAAAATTTTTTTAAATTAATTTTGAGGGGGCTGGAGCAATAGCACAGCGGGTAAGGTGTTTGCCTTGCACGCGGCCAACCCGGGTTCGATTCCCAGCTTCTCATATGGTTTCCTGAGCACCGCCAGGAATAATTCCTGAGTGCAGAGCCAGGAGTAACTCCTGTGCATCGCCAGATGTGATCCAAAAAGCAAACATAAATAAATAAATAAAATTAATTTTGAAGTAGTCAAAAGTCACAACTGTTGATACAATTCTACAGTTGAAATTGAGTAGATAGCAAAGCTCTAATCTTAAAATCAGCAAGTATTTAAAAAAATCAGTATTTTATGTGAAAAAATTGTTGTACCTGATCATGCGATTGTTAAGTCCTTGTCTAAGAATTTACTCTGCTATTTGTTGCTAGTTGAGCCTTCTGTGTTTTTGTCTGTTGAGTTAGTTGGCTTCTGTGTTACTTTTCCATCTAGTTTGGTGTGCTCCTACTGGAATTTCAGCCCTGAGAATTATAAGGTGTCGTGCAGCTGAGCGCATGGTTGAGACTTCAGGATCTGGGGTCTGGGCCAATGAGTTACCCAGGGTACCTGAAATCAATCACTGTTTGGTGTCTCTGCAGAGAGTATCAGTGAAGCCGCTGAGTTGAGCCTTGGGTGTGGGTGTGGCGGTCAGGACTTGCCTCAGTTTTCAGCCACAAGGACTGGTGTTTCTGTGAGTCTTAGCTGCTTGGCATGCATCTCCTCAGATATTCTGTCGTGAATCGGTACAACAGGGACAGTGAGTCAACATGGTGGAGCCTGTGAAAGCAATTTTTTTTAAAAAATACACCTTTGCTTTATCCTATTCTTGGAAATAAATACTGTTGCTTCTGGTTGTGTGGCAAACAGCTGTGGCTCCTTTTCTGTAGTGGTGGTGGCAGGGGGATGACACACTACTTAAAAAATGACTCCATTTGGCATGGTTCTGGCATCTATGGGGTGTGTGGGGGGAGGGGGCGTGACAGCTGTTGCAGTTGTTGAGGGGGTCAAATACTGGCAGAGAAGGTTGTGAATACTCAAGACAATGTGGAGGGGTCTTGGGGACTGAACTCTGGGCTTTACACATCACACACAGCTTTTGTTTTGGCCCCAGGGGTTGCACACTTTGTTGCTCTATGGAAATCCCACTTGCTCTCATACTGAAGATCTTACATTCAGTGATGTGAGTGGTATAAGGGATCAAAGTTGACCTCATTGGTTCAGGTATGTGCTTGTCACTGTGTGCGACTTAGGACCAAGGTGCCATTTCTGAATGTCAAAGGTTTTATATATGGAAGAGGTGACTGTGTGTTACAGTGTGTATGTGGAATTATTCTACATGGTATCTTCCCAGCTCATGGCACTATGTGTTACAGCATGTATGTGAAATCATACTACAGAGTGTCTTCTCACCTCATGGCACTGTGTTATATAGCATTTGTGTGGTATTCTACAGGGTGTCTTCCCAGCTCATGGAACTGTGTGTTATATACACAGCAACCATTGTAGAGATGCACTTTGGAAAATAAACCCAAGGTTAGGATAGGAGGGGGAACTGGTTTATTTCTCATTGCCACAAACACAGTGGTTCTTCATTTTAATAATACATTCTTTACCGTGTTTGTATTTGTTTTGGAGCCACACCCAGCTATGCTCACACTCTCCTGGCTGTGTGTTCAGGGCTCTATGCTAGAGGTTTAGAAAACCATATGTGATGCTGGGGATCAACCCTGGGTCAGTAGCCTGTAAGGTAATATGACAGATAATTAGTTAAGGTAACAACCTGCTGACCAATCTCTCTGGCCTTTTATCTTTTCTTATAGCTGACTTGTATTCAGTTGTGCATATATGCTACAATTTCTGTATCCACTCATCTGTGTTTTTTTTTTTTTTTTTTTTTTTTTGCTTTTTGGGTCACACCCGGCGATGCTCAGGGGTTACTCCTGGCTCATGCACTCAGAAATTGCTCCTGGCGGTGCTCGGGGGACCATATGGGATGCTGGGAATTGAACCTGTGTCGGCCATGTTGGCTGCGTGCAAGGCAAACGCCCTACCTGCTGTGCCATTGCTCCAGCCCCATGTATCCACTCATCTGTTGTTACAAGTTTGTGTTATTTCCAGGTCTTGGCCATTGCATATAGACTTGCAGTGTACACAGATGCACATACATGTGCCATGATACATAACAGCTAACTCTACTATTGGTCACTAAAAAGTCAACACCATTTCTGTTGATTTTCTAAATGTATAAAACTCTGTAAGAGAGCCCGGCAAGCTACCGAGAGTATTCGATATGCCAGACACAGTAACAACAAAGTCTCCAATGGAGACGTTACTGGGCCCGCTCGAGCAAATCGACGATCAACGGGAGGGCCTTTACCTTTATATAGAAAGAACCGGAATAGATGGTAAGAACTCTAGAAAATGTAAATATGGATACAGACAGTAGAGCAGGTGGATGAACTGCTGACTGGTTCTGTGACAGAGAACTCACAGAGTGTTTATGACAGCCATGGGCTCTTTCAATCTCCACCCCCACTCTGGGTACAACACAGAAATAGATGCTGTCCAGTTTTCTTTTGAAGGTTAAGCATGGCCATGCATTATTCAACTTTATATTACTGGGAAACTAGCAAAAAACTTGGCTTTATTGTAAAGACTCAATGACTATTTGTTAAATGAATGGATAAATGATTGGGTTAATAAATATGTGACTGGTGTTGGAGTGATGGAGTCGGTAAGGCACTTGTATTGCACATGGTGGACCTGAGTTCGATTTCCTGGCACCCTATAGGGTCCCCCTGGACACCTCCAGGAGGGATCCCTGAGTGCAGAAACAGGAGTAAGCCCTGAGCACAGCTGGATGTGGCCCCCCAACAAAAACAATGTGATAAATACCAAATGAATATGCTAATTTGGCGATGAGTGTTTTGGAGCAGTGTCAACACTCTGTTTTTGTTTTTGTGCCATATCCGGCAGTGCTCATAGCTTATACCTGGTTATGCACTCAAGAATCACTCTCGGCAGGGCTTGGGATACCACATCGGGTGCCGGGACTGAACTCGGGTCAGCAGTGTGCAAGGCTGACCTCACCCACTGCGCTTCCTCTGCAGCCCCAGTGCTATCATTCTCACAGTCCTGATCTGAAGTCTAAGGACATAACCGTGACCCTGCTGACCTGTACTATTCACATGGCTTCATATTATTCACATGGCTTCACTAGTAGGCAAGTAAGACTCCAGGGTGGCGGCGGCGACGATGCTGGTGACAGTGGGGGTGGCTGGGTCGTGATTTGGAAATGCTGGTGGCACCGGGGGTGGCGACGTCCGTGAACATTCCTTGCGCTTGCTCGAGCCCGGGCTGAGAACTGCACCTCGCTGCAGCCTCGCCAGGTCCCAGGCAGGCCGCCGGGGCCCCAGGCGCCCGGGGTCGCCGCCTCCGGGAGGCGCCGTACGGGGGGCGCGGGGCGGGGCCGCGGCGTCAGACAAAGGCGGGCGCGCGCACGTCCTGACGCACGCGGGGCCGGGCCGGCGCGGACGGACGGACGGACGGACGGACTCGGAGCCGCGCGCCGGGCGGTGAGTAGGCGGGGGTCGCGCGGGGCGCCGGGCGGGGGTCGCGCCGGGCGCGGTGAGTCGGCGGGGGTCGGCCCGGGCGCCTCCCCGGACCCCAGACACGCTCCCCGCGGCGCCCCGGCCCCGAGACCGCGACACCGCGGCCGGGAGCCCGGCCCGACTCGCGCCCCGCCCGGACCCGCCGCGCCGCCTCCACCCGGCCGGTCCCGCGCTCGCCGCGCCTCCTCCCGCCCCTCCCGGCCCGCGCCCGCGCCCGCGCCCGCGCCCCGGCCAGTCGGCCCGCCGCGCCGCCACCCGCGCCCCTCCCCACGCCCCCTCCTCGCGCCCGGCCCCGCGCCGCTCCCCGGCCCCTCGATCCGCGCCCCGCGCCCGCCCCGCGCTCTCCCCGGCCCAGCGGCTCCTCCCGGGCCCAGCGGCTCCTCCCCGGCCCCGCGCCCCCAGCCCCGCGCCGCCTCCACCCGGGCCGGCCAGCTGCTCCGCGACCCCGGCGCCGGCTACCCGACTCCCCGGGGGCAGCCCTGCGGATCGCGAGAGGGCCCCGTTCACCTGTGTCATCTGCTTCTGCTCTTTGGCTTCTCAGAGATATGTCTATTGTTCCTTGCTTCTTTTTTCCCAAGAAACCCCATTTTAGAGAATATTCCCCTCCCTCCAAAGGGCGCGGTCCCGTGCCTGTCCGCCTCATCCCACGCCCTAAACACGGGGCGCCCTTTGTGGCGGAGGGCTCGTCTCCCTGCTCCGTCCAGCACATTGGGGTTTCCAAGTTAGTGACCCTAAGGACCTGCGAGGAGCTCTTGGGAGCAGACTGAGTGACTCCTCCGGAGCCAGGGAGCTGAGGTCTTCTCAAGGATTTCCTTTCTGGTTCATCTTCCTTCGTTTTGGCTGAACTTAGAGTACCTTTACTGAGTTGGTGCATGTTTTGTAGATTTTATCTCAACTCCCGGGAAATGGTGTGAGAAACGTTTATACTATGCCAAAGACTGCAGGGAAGAGGACTGGGATGGTCCCAGTCTGGAATCCTCTCACTGCTGTGGTGCCTTTTCAGCGTGGCATTATGGAGCATTCAGATGAGAGCAGGAGAGTGAACCGGCCTAGCCCGACTCAGCAGCTCCCTGTGGCAGAACCTGCCCCATACCCCCCTCTCCCACGGATCTCTGGGATGAACATTTGGTGTCAAAACTTGACATTCAAAATATAATCTTATAAAGCAGCAGAGATCTCCAAATTTATTTGGTCCCCTTTCAGGAGAAAAAAAAATCCAGCTCTCCCCCTGGAAATCTACCGCCTTTAGGTGAACAAATAGGTCCCCCAAGGCCCCCCAAGAGGCTGCTGTGCAGAAACTGGTATGGTGGTGCTCAGGGGTTCCCAGCCGCACTCCCAGCTTGCTGAACTGGACCTTTGAATGTGTAGGGACCACCAGAGCCACACCTACTGGGAGTGTGAGGGGGCTGTGGGAATCCGTGCAGGCGCGTGTCCTGATCTGTTTGCCCAGCCAGGCTGTGAGGTGATTCTAATGACACAGTGTGCTCTGTGTTTGGGGGCCACACCTGGCGGTGCTTAGGGCTCTGGCTCTGCACTCAGGCAGCACCCCTGGCAGGCTTGGGGGACCGCATGTGGTGCTAGGAATCAGACCTCGGTTGGGCACATGCAAGCCAAGTTCCTGAGCCTCTTGTCCTGTGGCTTCCGCCGCCAGTGGACTGTTAAAGGGACCATCTGGGAGAGCCACCCCAGCTTCATAGGACCACAGTGGGACGTCTAAAATGACCCAGTGGCTAGAAGACAGGGTAAAACCATCTGGACAAGAATGTCTAGGTTTTGTTTTGTTTTGTTTTGTTTTGGGTCTTTATACATCTTTGTTTTGTTTTGGTTTGTGTTTGGGTCACACCTGGCGATGCTCAGGGCTTACTCTTGGCTGGGCACTTGTGGAGTGCTCATGGGACCATATGGGATGCAGGAGATCGAACCTGGGGTCAGCTGCGTGTAAGGCAAATGTCCTTCCCTCTTGACTATCTCTCCAGGTTATCTTGTCTAACTTTTTAATTTATTTGCTGGGGGAGACCTAATGGTGCTCAGAGGACTGGAAGGCCGCTGCTGGCGACTCTTGGCCAACCAGGCCGTCATTTCAGTGTAGGCACCCTGAGGATATGTTGCTCCAAGGGCCCTGTGATGCAGGGCACCTAGTGATGCTTTAGGGACCCTGTGGTGGGAGAGATTGGAGCTTGAGTCACTCCCAGGGGGCTGCCAGGGATCAAATACAAATCAGCCCAGTGTAAGGCAAGCATCCTGTCTGCTTTACAATGGCTCCAGCCCCGCCTGTTTCATTTTTGATTAACTCAGTATTGAGAGTTTGGATGACTTGTCCACAGGTAGAGGGTATTAGGCGCTTAGCAAAGTTAGCACTCATATAGCCATCAGGCTTTCTGTCCTGTCTCCTGCTGCCTGCCTTTTGGAGTGCAGTTGTGTACAAAGAGAAATTGTGGAAAGCCTGGGACTGGGAAATTACTTTGGAGGGTTTGAATGGTTCACTAAGATATTTTTACCAAATTCCAAAATAATAAAACTCGGGATATCTTAATAACTTCAGTTTTTAAGCTGGGTTTGGGAAAATGAGAAGATATTATCATAGCTTTTAGAAAACCTGGAGAAGATCAGACCTTTGGAATAAGGATGAGAAGGGTAGGGTGATGGTTCAAAGGGTTGGAGCACTTGCTTTGCATACAGGAGCCCTGTGCGTAATCTCTGGTGCCCCAAGGGGAGCCCTCTGGGCACTGCCAGGTGTAGACACCTTCCCCCACCTTCCCCCCACCCACAGTCTAGCCACTGAGGGGAGATTGCAAGATTTGGAGTGTATCTCTCATGTTTCGCTCCACAGCAGTATAGTAATGCCTAGCAGCCACCCCTAAAAAAAAAATTATTTCTTGTAATAAACAGGTAAAAGTTCTAAGTTTATCTTGTAATAAACAGGAAATTATCTTGTAATTATCTTGTAATAAACAGGTAAAAGTTAAATCATAGTATGCAGCCGTATACTACCAAGTTCCCTTTTCTCAAGGAAGACGTGTAATATTAAATACAAACATTTAATATATGTACTTAAGCTCCAAATTCCTTCCCCTGAATCGGGGAGATCCCATACCCAGGGAAGGGGAGATCCATCTCCAGGGAAGGGGGAGATCCCATCGCTAGGGAAGGGAAGATCCATCTCCAGAGAATGCTGGTAGCAGGAACCCTTGATTCTGTGAGTTTCCTTCTATGTTTATTATAATGTAGCATAATTGTTGGTAAATTGATTTTCAGGATGAGATTTGTTTTGTCTTGGAGTCACACCCATCATGCTCAAGGCTTCCCTGAGTTTATGACTTAAACACTACAGTTGTCATGAACATCAAAGTGACTTCCAGAGATTTATTTATTTTTCGGTTACTGTGTTTTGAACCATCCCTGGTGGGGTTCAGGACTTATTCCTGGCTTTGCACTCAGGGATCTCTCCTAGTGGTATTCAGGGACCATTGGGGGTGCTAGGGATTGAACCCCAGTCAGCTGTGTGCAACGGAAGGGCCCTACCCACTACATTCTATCTCCAGACCCGTGAAGTCTTGTTTAAATTACATAGACCTGAGAGTAACAGAGTTGTACTTCAGAAAGACTTCTAAATTATGATTCCAGAGAGATAGTACAGCAGCTTGCCCTGCACAGTGCAACCCGGGTTGGATCCCTGGCACCCCATATGGACCCCTGATCACTGCTAGGTATGGCCCTAGCCCAAAACGGAACAACAACAACAAAAAAAACTCAATTCTTTCTGGACTTACTCCACTGCACCTCTCTCCTGTTTGAGAGGATTAGGAAGGGGAAAAGTACTCTGTAAGTCTTTTTCCTTAAGGGGCATAATTGTTTGTTTAGAGTCATATCAACAGTGGTCGGGGCTTGCTCTTGCTCTCCAAGGGGTCATTTTCTTCTGGCTGTGTTTGGGGGAAACCATGCAGTGCTGACCGCAGGTCAGCCACACCCTATGCACGATCTCTCCAGCCTGAGAAACGTTACTTTCAGCCGAGACAGGCTACTTTTCATGATATTGATCAGTGCTATCCAGTAGAAATATAAGCTGGATACATTATCATTGTGGGAAGATCCCCAGATCTCTTTGTGCTCTGATCAGACATAGCAGGTCCTGGCTGTATGTGGTGTTAGTGATCCAGCCTGGATTGGCCAATGCGTGGTAGGCATCTTATTCACTGGATTATCTTGCTGTCTGTATATAATTTTATATTTTGTGGCAGTCACTTAAAAAAAGGTCAAAATAATTATAACTTATTTAATCCAGATTATTCAACATGTAATCAATATGCATTATGAATAAGATGTTTAATTTTTTTTTCATACTGAGTTATTGAAGTACACCGTGTATTTTACACCTACTGCACCTTTCCACTTGAACTCACCACATTTCAGGTGCTCGTGGGTCACATGTGGTTAGTGGCTGCTGTGGCGGACCACACAGTATCACTGTTAGCTGATGAAGGCTTTTTTTTTTTGGTCTTTTTGGATCACACCCGACCTTTTTTAGGGGTTACTCTTGTCTCTGCACTTTGGAATCACTCCTGGCAGTGCTGGGGGACCATAGGGGATGCTGGGGATTGAACCCAGGTCAGTCACGTACAAGGCAAACATCCTACTCGCTGTACTATTGCTTTGGCCTGGAAGGAACATTTCATATTGCTTAGTGGTACTCATTTCTGAGGTTAAAAGTTTTGGGTTATTTTTTCTCGTTCATTTCTTTTTTCTTTTTACTATTTTTTTTTAATGAATCACTGTGAGATATAATTACAAAGCTCTTATGATTGAGTTTCAGTCATACAGTGATCAAACACCCATCCTTCCACCAGTGTACATTTTCTACCATCAATGACCCCAGTGTCCCTCATGCCACCACCACCACCTCACCCCATTCCCTGTTTCTATGGCAAATTTCTTTCTTACTCTCTCTCTGTACTTTTGGGCGTTAT